CTTCGCTGCCTCGTAAATCATTCGTTTTACTTTATAATGCGAAATGGTGGAAATTTGCAAAAAATTTGCCGTGTTACACGAATTAGTTTGATTCAGAACCTGCACAGAAAGAAGAACCGAGGACATAATTTCGACTCTGTCAGTTTGTCCTGATTCAACATTCTAAGCAACGGATATCACGAAAACTGAAAAATTCAATAAATTGAGAAGGACAAGTTGAGTGTCGCGAGCAAAATGGCTTATTAACACACGCCTTACATCATACAATCTATACCAAATTTAGTTTGGACTCCATGACTCCTTCTAACCTTTTTGGACGAACATAAAAAAAATTCTAATTGAAAATTGCGAAAAATCAATAATTCGATGGAAGCAGTCGGTGGGTCTTTAACAAAATGGCTTATTGGCCAAAGCCCCACCCCATAATTTATGTACAATACCGCTCACATTTTTTTGAAAAAATACACGAATGTCGCATCATGTGTGAACATCACCGTCGCGTGACCATATCTCGCTTCAGAGTGGACGAATTGTGCATCTAAAGTACCATTCGACTCAGCTCGGTGCGGTGCATCTTCTGATATATAGAAATGTCCACTTGGACACAGTAGAAGGTCAGATTCCACGAATCGTTTCAGATTTTTGCTTACGGTAGGTTGCTCAGTGTGCTTGTTCATTGCACCCACTGGGCAACCTACATCTGAAACGATGCGTGGAATATGACCTCCTACTGTGATCAAGTGGAGACTTCTATATATCAGAAGATGCGCCGCGCCGAGCTGAGTCGAATGGTGGCTTTAAATGCAGAACTTGTCCACTCTGAAGGGAGATATGGCCACGCGACAGTGTGTTCACACATGATGCGGCATTCGCGTCTTTTTTCAAAAAATGTGAGCGGTATTGTATGCCTAATTTGGTTTGGATTTCATAATTCCTTCTATCCTTCTTGAAAGATAAAAAAGTGGCTGAGCCAATTATCATACAGGGTGTTCCCAGAGTAAGTACACACTTTTCAACCGTCAATATCTCTCTTCCCAATAGGTCTTTTTTCGCCAGTAAAGTACCGTTCTGTAAGGGAGGCTTCAACTTAGAGTTACAGTATCGACGAATCCCGATCGCTCTTCGTTACTGTAGGATTAAGGTAAGAACTTCCACATGTGGAACCATTATGAAATATGTCATCTGATAAGAATTTTTTTCAAAAAATTTGAAGTATCGTGTACTAGGGCTTGATTTTTCTATTTCCGCTGATTCCACTGCACAATTTTTACGAGTGCTTTCAGCTTTTTCGACGGTGTAATCACATTTCTGACAAATACTGGGAATCGGTTATTACGGTCTACCTGGGATAACTATGGAAGAAAGCATCACAGTGATATGGAAGCTTCATTTTCGAAATCAGCGGCTTCCATTACCATAGTATAAGAGTTTTTGGTTTGTTTGGCTTTGTTCCGAAACAGAATATGGCTTCTAATGGCCTAAAATCCTTGTCGAAGTATAAAAGTATAAGAGTTTTTGGTTTGTTTGGCTTTGTTCCGAAACAGAATATGGCTTCTAATGGCCTAAAATCCTTGTCGAAGTTCCTTTAGTAATCTTACAGTAATGAAGAGCCAACGGTGATTCGCTCGATACTGTAAGTCTAAGTTGAAGCCTCCTCTACAGAAGGGCACTTTAATGGGGGAAAAAGACGAAATGAAGAGAGATATTAAAGATTACAAAGTGTATACTTACTTTTGGGACACCCTGAAGCATTGATATATGTGAATAGTAGCGAAAAAAATCGTTAGTGCTGAAAAGAAATTGAGAACAAAATCCTAACAAAAGTGAAAATCTTATGTCGTAACATGTCTTTTCGCTGATCTTCTTATCTTTGTAGCCGATGTACCATTTCTTGACACCGTACCAGCTCACCAAATTGCTCAAGACGTTTATCGCGCAGTCGTGAAGCTACCTCAAACTCGGGTAATTGAAGCCTCGTCTGTTTTTTTTTCAAATAAAATCGGAGATAAATGCAACAACTGAAAACCCACAAATAAATGAACAAGTTGAAAATAGTCGTCTTTGCCGTTCTAGCGCTTTTATATGTGTTGCTGTCCTCGCACGCTGCCTCAACATTCCGTAATAGATGAATGTTAAGATAAGGCAGATCTGTGTGAAGAAGGAATACGGTAGAAATCCCGCTCAGAGCAGCGATTGGAGAGGTACGACGAGATACGGAGAATAAGAGTTGAGTTGAAATCGAAAATGCAAGCGTGGAGGACTAAGATGCGTAAGTCTTCGCAGTTGAGGTTCGATATACACGTAACCGCAAAAAACCGTCTTGGTGCCCTCCAAAGTCGCTTTCCCCGCGTGACCAATGGCAAATCTCTTCATGTGATCTCACCTTTTGTTGGGGAAGACAAACAGAGCTCTCTGGCAGTCTTTAAACAGCTTGAATTAGTTTTCGATTGCTTACCTAGATACTCACTCAAATATACCGCCTACGTGCCGTGCGGGCTCCAGCACAGAAGTTTCCATCGATCCCTGTCCCTCGCTTCAGACATACACGATCTTCTTGGTGGCTGCGTCCGCTACTTTCAAAAGCAAAAATCGTACCCAGCCGATTTCCAGCTGTTCTGTCCATATCTGCCCATCTCGCTGGACGTCTTCCTCGGAGACGTTTGCTTCGCGAGGAATCCATCCTGATCTTCTTAGTGTACAGTCGTCTGCTTTTCTCATAATATGACTGACCCATCGACGCTCGTTTAGCAACGTATTCCGCTGGGTCACGAAAACGAGACATTCTCATGTCCGTACTGCGAAGTACGACAAGATTTTCAGAAGATTGCTCTCAAGCGCTCTCTGGGTAGTCCTTAGAGCTTTCAACAGTTTTCGTAGTTACAGTGCCGGCCCGAATCCCAGCTGCGTAACAGAGCGCCGGGAGAACGGATGAGTCAAACAGATGAGAACAAAGATCCAGGTCCGTCAGCTGGCCGCGGATTCCTGCAGAGGCCCGAAGGCGGCCCAGGCTCTTCTTCTCCTGTTAAGTTCTTGCTTCAAGTCGTTCTCCACGTTCACCGAACGTCCAAGATACATGTAAGAAGACGTCCGCCTTCCAATCCATTTTCACATCTTGCAAAGGACCTCTTTCATGAACTAAGTCTTCTTCCAATTTATTCACACTCCGATCTTCTTCCCTTCTTCGTTTAGTTCCTTCAGCATCGTCTCTACTTCAGTGACACGGCTCGAAAAAAAAAACGATGGCGCCCGCAAAACGAGGGTTCGACAGAATTTTCTCATCAACTCTTATGCCCCTCTCGCCCCAGTCCAGTGACTTCATCATACACTGCAAGGCCGCGGTGAACAGCTTCAGCGTGATTGTGCGTCTGTCGGACCCCCTTTCCAAGATGGTCGGGGTCGATGGAATAGATGCATCGTCGCTGTAGAGTCCTTGTAGCAGTCGGCAAACATCCTCACTAAGCTGGTACTCATCGATCGGCTAGCGCAGACAGGACGACGTTGGTCTCGACGCTGTCAAAGGCTTTCTCGTAATTGACGAAGGTTAGGATGAGAGGGAGTCGGCAGGTATTCCCGGCAAACCTCTATGACCCCCGAAACCGTCTAAAGCCAAAACAACAGTCAAAACAAAGCCAACGCCTCCAATGTTTCGTGATGGAACTTTCTCACCACGAATAATGAATGTTCCATCACTATTTGTCGCACGTCCTTCTTCCTGGACTTCGTTTCCTGCAGAGCGATGGTGTGGTATTTGATGTGCTCTGCGGCGTCGAGGAGAGCATGGAGGTCGGCGTTTGTGCAGGCTGTCCTGGTGTTGTAGGTGCAGAGCAGAGGCGAGTCGTCCAGGCAGACGTGTCGTTTTTGTCCGATTGAAAAGGCACCGTCTACGCTAAGTTGAAGGCCTTGAAATTTTGGCAGCATATGATAGTACGGCTTCTATCAGCGGACGTCGCGGCACAAAATGTCTTCAGAAGTGAGAAAATCGCTCCGGAATAACGAAAATGCACGAGGACCCCCAGACGGGACCGCCGTCCCCATCTATGCCCGCGCATCCGTGCGCGCCCATCCAATCACCGTTCCGGAAGGCCGGTTCTTCGGAACGGGGATTGTTGGGGTTTTCGCGCATTGTCGACTTCATATTCGGAATCAGGGACATGAGAAGGCCCCAGAAAGATCAAAACATGGTAATCGAGATCTGGGTGGGCGGTGCCTTTAAGGAGCCTGACATCGTTCTTGCTACCGCCCGGCCCCGTAGGCGGATCCGATGTGCGGGGTTTCTTCTATTCTTCTAGCTGGCGGAGTAAAAAATTTTCCCCTACAAGAGGCGACTTACTAGGCCTCTCATTTCCAAGGGCGATCGCTGACCCGGGTGTGGAGAGAAGAACCACCTAGCGACCAGAAAGCCACGGGGAGGGGAAGGGGGGTCTGGCCCGGGCGGCTTTTAGCTAGGCATCCGGCCGAAACCGGAAACGTCGAACTCTTTCAAGGCTTGTGAGCCCCTACTTAGAGTGTAACAATCGGCTGTGCATCGCAGTTCGACACTCATGTCATCCCCACGCCACGCTGAAGAGCTCATTGACCATTTTGGGGTGTAGATTGTAAACCAGAATATCGTCTCTTCGGATATGTACGACGCCGATACCAAAAAAACTCAAACGCCTTCAGAAAAAGGTACAAATAAGCCACTAAACCTCAAAAATCCCTTTTGTGTGGAAAGCCTCTTGCTCGAGGACTACCAGTATGGTAGCCTGTCGGCAGAATAATGAGGGAAGGATGATGAATGATATCCGCATATTCCGGGTTGTTGCTGGTCGAAGCGAGTGAACAATGTGAAAAATAGTGTTCTCTTCTGACTAATTTCCATCCATCTTTGAGCGAGTAAAGATCACAAATCTTTTGCTGCACAAGATATAAATGATATTTACCGTAACATGAAAATAATCTATGTTTTTCTTCCCCTAATAATAGAAGATTTCTGCTACGACGATGACTGAATCTTGAATTTATATCTGTTTTATTATTCAGATGAGATACAAATCCAGGGTACGATTAATGACCAGCAGATTATAGTAATCACATGAAAACGGATATAGAGATATTACAACGCCAGACTTAGTATAAAAGTGTAGAATCATTTTTTCTATAAGACACATAAAACAGAATTACGTTATATACCAAGATCCTAACTAGGCTATTATTTCTTCGATACAAAATTGAGCACTGTCTGCAAGCAAGAGTTTTTGGTTTTTTTTTTCAATATTTTCGTATAAAACAAACACTCGTATACCTATAAAATAACTCATGGAAAGAACTGTCCAGAAATTAACATATATACAAGCAAGAGTTCTAGTAATAGTATCTAGGAAAGTATCATTGCGAAGAAGAAGTGAAATGCATGAGGAACTAAGCGAAAAGCTGAGACATCACAATACGATTACCCGATAAAAGAGCCAGCATTGTACGAAGTTCACAAATACGCCTGAGGTACAAGAGTGATTTTGGGTGAAGGTACACTAGTAGAATTCCTAGTTTTCATTCGACACACAGCATTTGCTACAGTTGAAGTTTGTATGTATGAAAGACTCTAACATGGCGGCTGAGTAATAATCCGCGAATCTGCGGCGGGAAGAGAGCTGGGATGATGATTGTAGCTCTTTAGTGAAAGAGTAGACGAGGCTTTTGTATGGGTAGCGTCTGTAAACTACCGTGTACAAGAAATATTTTCAAATTTCATATAGTCTCAAATTATAGCGCTTGCTTCTATAAACTAACAATGAAATGTCTTACCACTATGATGACTGTCTGGAACTACTGTGCTCCTGTAATGCAAAATTTGTATAAACCACATGCAAACAAAAATGAAGTCACTACTTTGGGTCATCCACATCCTGCACAGCACGCACTGCAACGGTATCTGCGCCCGACGTGTCACCACAGTCCAGCAAGCAACTGCTCTCTTCAATTATTGACTTCTTCCGTCCAAAATCTTCGGCCGAAGCCAATTTGATCAGGTCCATGACATCCATTCTAAAAAAAAAATAAGATCATAGAGATGTTGCGAATCAAAAGCGATCCATCAAACCTTCTGCTAGAAGTGTGATGAGTATTTTCCTTATCATCATCAACAGCCTCCTCTTTGATCCGATGCTGCAGTTCAATCTTGGAAGCCATTTGACGCCTGTTCTGCAAAGGAGTGATGAAATGTAACTACTAGACCAATTTCATTGGAATGCCTTATTCCGACTTGAACGGTACCTACTGATCGAGAAAAAGGGGACACAGATTACCTTACCGGCATATCTTGATTCCGTGCAAGGACTGTTTTAGATGAGATACTGTAGCCAGGTGAAGACTTGAGTTGCTGACTTCCACGCCAATCGGAAGCGGTGCGGCGGTCAGAAGCGCTATAAGACAGCCGCGTGTCGGCAAATGTCATCGAAGGTTTTGTAACGTACCTATGACCGAGGCGCTCGGCAACATGATGAAGCTGTAGTTCTTTTCGATGGCCAAAGTCATCTGCAATTAAGCGAGATTGATCTGAAATCAGAATGAGCTCAAAAGGGGTAGAGACAAATGCGGTGTGCTACCTAACTCCAACTCCGAGCGCTGATAGCGATTGTCGTCGCCTCTCTGGAAGGAAAAACGAGATAATAAATGCAGAGATGTGCGAGGCACGTAGGATTTAAGAAGCGAAACAGAAACTGAACTCACGCTAGCTTCTCCATCACGACTACGCAAAGCAAGATGGTGCTTCATGGAAGGATGAGAGGGATTTGGTGCCGCAAAGCGAGACCCACGAAACGAGGCTCCCTGAAGACAGATTCTTGCTGAGATACCGCAGATCATAAGCGTAAACGTACCCTTCCTTCACCATGATAATTCCTACGACTATAAGTGATATAAGAGCCTGAAAGGGCTTATTTGAAATGCATGAATTGATATTATTCCTGATGCAGAAAAACGTTGCCTCCTCACCTTTTTCACGAGAAAAGCTTTCTTTCTCCGAACCACTATGGCGGCCAAAATGCTTGTTTGAAAAATAATGTTTCGGAGAGGAATGCCGACTTCTGCTCACTGCTGCGGCACCGCCACCTATGTTTGGATTATTACTGACACAGATACGTGAGCAGTGCCAACTAACGTGTAACCACTTCATTCTCATTCCTAGATGAATGCGCAGAAGAGGTTGTGTCGAAAGAATTATCCAAACACGAGCGACTAAATGGTGCTGAAACAGACACGGTTCGAAATAGATCAGAGTGTCACCGCTTAAACTGGTAATGCAAGCGAAACTCTTTGTTCCTAGTTTCTTCTAGCGCTTCTCATTCTCCAAAAAAAAATTGTGTAACAATTGCAAAACTCTTTTCAGCTCTGATGTGTGGTCGGCAGCAAATGCCGAATGTATGGGACTGCGCAAAACAAACTCTATATAATCTGTTTAAATTCGAAGTAAAGAATTTCATGTGCAGCAGCGTATCCGCATCGCTAGAGCCTTTGCAAGCGCAACGCTGGCATTTTGCCAAACAAAAACAGAGGAAAATAAAGAGACGCAGATATGCGTTTTGAACACTTCAGTGGCCGTATTCATCAACGAATCCAGTGGGTTATGGAAAGCATTGGGTAGGCTTAACCCACGAGATCGGTATTCAAGAAGCTAGTGGGTTCGCGAACCCAGCAATGCTTTTTGTGAATATCGATCCAACCCAGTGCACTGTTTTCGCTTACCCAATGGGTTCCGGAACCCACTGGATTCGTTGATGAATATGGCCACAGTATACTTTCACTGCGAACAGCGTGGCAAAAGCACTTCAGCGTAATCCCCGCCTGAACTAAAAAGGGAACCGTGTTTAGTCAAAGTGGCGTTTCTAAACGAGACTCACACCACTTTGAAGAGCATTGCGCGGTGGTGCCAAATCTTCAGTATCTGCCAAGCGCCTCTGGACGCCGAGTTATGACCGTTTTTTGGAACGAAAAATGAATGCAAAATTTAGGTAAGATTGATTGTTACAATCTCTCCAGCGCTCAGATAAAGCAATGTCAAGTATTAGCATATTAGACAAAATCTATACATTGCATCAACTGCTCTGAAACTCGAAACTTGTTCCAGTTTTGAGTTCAATTTTTTGACCCCAAAAAATACCCATAACTCGACGTCCAGAGAGTGGAATCACAGTGCAATACTCTCCAAAGCAATATGGATCTGATCTGAAAAGGCACTTCGACTAAAAACGCTTCTCTTCTAAGTTGAAACTGGCTGTAAAACATTTTGACGAATACGTAAATCAAAATGCATAGAGCCCGCTACCGGTAGACCGTGTACTATACTTTGGGAAATTCGAAATTTTTTTCGAATATTCGAATATCGAATAATATTCGAAAATCAAAATTTTCGAATATTCGACTATCGAATATTATTCGAAAATGGAAGTTTTCGAATCGAATAACATTCGAATATCGAATACCATTCGATATTCGAATTTCGAATGTTATTCGGTTCTCGAATAGTATTAAATTTTTGAATATCATTCGATTTTCGAATACTATGCGAATAAATTATGTCAGTGAGACTACCTGTGAGAGACCAAAACATTTCAGAATAAATTTTTTCAGGTATATACATTTTTTTATGTTTCAATTTACAACGAAAAAACAGTTCAGTTGCAGCCCCGGCAAGAAGATGGGTGCCGGATTGTGGCGATGTTAAAGCAGTCCCCCCACCTAAGCGATAACTGATGTTCGGAGCGAAAAAGGGGGCTACCAGGCCTAAAATTTGCCCCGTAAATGGCCCGGATCTTACGGTAGGCTCGTGAGTACGAGATGCATGCAGAGTAGAGACGCAGAGTCGTTGCGGGACCCTGCACTCATGACTATGTGCGCTATGCGTTCTCTGGCCTTGTAGTTCGAATTCGCTGTACGGGTGGCATTCGGGTCTGCCGTAAGACGGGCCACTTTGGGAGCAATTTTCAATCTTACCAGACCCTCTTTCTCGCTCCGAACTTCGTCACCGCTTAAGTAAGGGGTCCAATTCAACATCGCCACAAATTCCCGGACCCATCTTTTGGGACGCTGCCTTTAAGAACCTAAAAGCGTACGTGACGGTTGTAAAGGAATTTCAAAAATCAAAGAAGGTTATTTATCCTCATTGAGAGTTGTGGACTGGCATACAGGGATCCCAACAGTATGTGAATCTGTGGGCTGACATCGACCTAGACTTACAGTATGAAGCGATGTGTCGTATCGCTTTTCACTACGGTAAATTACCGTAGGAAAACTGAGAAGGGCTTTGAGATATCAAGAGCCGTTTGCCCAAGAATGAGAAACAAAAAGGATCTTACACTAGGCTTATAAAGACACTCACTATGTAAAGAGTTTGCACTCAACCGTAACGCTTTGTGCAACTTATGCGAGGTAGACCGTAACAGATGTTTTCCCGCTTTTCAAAAAAGAGAATGCACATTTAAAAGGCTTAAAAGCCCGTGCGTAGTTAAACATACGTAAAATCCTGCTACATAGATTTGAAATCTCTTTTTTGTTAGGGAAACTCTTTTGAATGTCTCATTTCGCAGTTGCTCTATATTTTTTTAATCCTCGCATGTGTCCCGCTTACGCAGGGTCTGCTTTTCTTGTGAGACGTCTCCATGTCGTCCTATCTGAGGCAAGGTTTTCATCTATGCCAAGTTCTCGCAGGTCGGCCTTGATTCTGTCCACCCACCTCATCTTGGGTCTACCTCTGGGTCGTTTGCCTGGCGCCTCCACAGCCAGGGCTGACTTCGTGATGTGACTTTCATCCCTTCTGCGCACATGCCCATACCATCGCAACCTTCTTTCCTGCATTTTCTGGGCAATTGGAGCTACTTTCATTCGTGCTCCTATAGTGTCATTGCAGATGTGATCCTTCAGTGTGACTCCTAAGGTCCATCGTAGCATCCTTGTTTCCATGACACTGAGCTTGCGCTCCTCGTTCCGCGTACACGGCCAGCACTCACTGCCATACAGTGCTGCTGGGCGGATAACGGTCCGGTACAGTTGGGACTTAAGTTGCACTGGCATTCGTTTGTCACACAGAACTCCTATTAAGGCTCTCCATTTCATCCATGCTGTGTTCATCCTGCCTGCGATCTCCTCTTGTAAGCCTCCCTCCGCTGAGATATGGCTGCCTAGGTACTTGTATGACGTCGTCTTCTTTAGCTCTTCACCATTGATGCTTATGGTACCTGGAGTTTGTTTCCCCACTTCCATATATTCTGTCTTCCTGGTGTTGAACTTCAGGCCATACAACTCTAGCCTGTTTTTCCAGTTTTGCACCTCGTTTTGTAGCTCCTTTCTGGTACTTGCTATCAAGATCATCTGCGTAGAGAAGTGTCCAATGGGGTTCACGTCTGAGCGGTTCCATCACGGCGTTCATCACAGTGATGAAGAGCAAGGGAGAGAGAACTAACCTTGGTGAACTCCAACCTTGATCTGGAATTCTTTCGATTGCCCTGCAGCTGTTTGCACGTGGCTTGATGCGTTGTGGTAGATCAATTTTATCCACTGAACGTACTCCTCTGGCACCCTGTGTTTCCGTAAGGCCCACCATATGGCTTCATGTGGCACCTTATGGAAGGCTTTTTCCAGGTCCAGGAAGGCTACATGCAATTCCTTCTGCTTCTCCTTGTATCTCTCCATCACTATCCGAGCGGAGTGGATTGCTTCAGTTGTACTTACTCCTTTCACGAATCCGCACTGATTCGGTGACAACTCTATGATATTTCGAAGGAGTGTTTCGATTACTCGCTCGAAGATTTTTAGAGTGTGGCTCATCAGTCGGATTGGTCGGTAGGATGCGCAGTCTGCTATGTCTCCTTTGTTCTTCCATATCAGGATGGTCGTGCTGGTGTACCAGTCGCGAAGCATACTCTTGCTCCTTATGATTTAATTGAGGAGACTTGTTAGCCATGTGGCTCCGGATTGTCCACATAATTTCCAGAACTCGCTTGGTATGTCGTCTGGACCAGTCGCTTTGCCATTCTTTGTTCTTCTTACGGCCAGCCATACTTCCTCTTCCGTGACTGCCGGTACTGGTCCCTCTATGGGGCTGGCTTCTGGGATGGAGTTGATGGTGCGGCCTGTGGTGGCCATCTCTTCGAAGTAGGTTCTCCATTTCTCGGTAATGTCCTCTGGTTCTCTTAGCACTCTACCAAGTTTGTCTTTGATATGAAGGAAGTGTTCCATATCTTTTGTGGATTCCGCTCTTCTTTTCGCTATCCGGTATATCTCACGTTCTCCCTCGCGAGACTCTAGGTGGTCGTAGAGCTCTTTCAAGTACACCTGTTTTGCATTCTTTACGGAAGCCTTCGCAGCGTGCTTGGCTCGTTGGTACTTCTGACGATCGTCCTCCATCGTCTTTATGCCATCGCTTGTACGCATTCCTCTTCTCCTTTATGACTGTTTGCACTACGTCATTCCACCACCACGTTTCTCGATTGATCCTTCTTTTTCCTGGCTTCGTACTTCCCAGGATCATGTGTGCCCTTCGTGGACTCGATCTTTCAAGCTTTTCCAGGATTGATCTGGGTTATCTTGCAAGCGTGGTAGAGTTGTTTGCAGTGTTTGTTTCGCCGCGTTGTTGTCTTTCAATCTCCACCATTTGATGCGTGTCCTGGTCTCTGTGGCTCTCCTAATGTGCCCATTTATTGGGATTTTAATGTCGAGAAGCAGTGGTCTGTGCTGAGGTATGCAGCTCTCACCTGGAATGACTTTGCAGTCCTTTACGTTTTTGAGGTCACATTGCCGGATAGCCCAGAAGTCTATCTGTGTTCGTCGATCGCCACTTGTTCGTCGATCGCCACTCGCATATGTTATGAGGTGATCATCCTTCTTGATGTAGTATGTGTTCGCCAGCACCAGATCATGAGCTGAGGCGAATTCCAGAATGCGCTCACCTTCTTCGTTGCATGTTCCGTATCCGTGGCCTCCGCGACATTTTCCGGCTTCTCCTCGCCTTTTTCCCACATGTCCGTTGAGGTCCGCTCCTAGCAGGAGTGTCTCATCCAGTGGAATTGAACTGATGTGGTCATCTAACTCCTGCCAGAACGTGTCTTTTTCGTCATCCTTACATCCGACTTGTGGAGCATAGGCGGTGATTACTCGTAGGACCTGTTTCCCAGTGTCTATCTTGATGCTCATCAGACGATCGCTTAGGCGCTCAACGTCAACTATATTGTTCCGTAGAGTCTTCGAGACAGCTATACCAACCCCGTTTCTGGTGCAGGTGGCACCGTTGTACAGGAGCTTATATCCATCCCCGACGTCGCGTGACTTTGCCCCGCTCCACTTTGTTTCCTGTATACGGGCTACATCGACTCGCCGTCTCTTCAGAAGATCTGCTAACTCACGAGAACGAGAGGTGAGTGTACCCATATTGATGGTAGCTAGACGGAGAGTCTGCGATGCCTTGGTTCGTTGCCTCTGGTGAACTAGCCGCTTTAGGCCCGGGCAGACTTCACGCGATTTGGTCGTCGCGACTGAATCGCGACGAGACAACTGTTACAACATCATTCCATGCCGATCAACTTGCATTCGGTTGTGATACTTTTCCAGCCCGAAATTTTTGAATGTGAAATGAAAATGAATGGAAACCTTGGCGATTAGATCGCGACGATTAAGTCGCGTGAAGTCTGACCGGGGCCTTAGCCGTCCCCGTAAACCTTGCTGAGACGGTAACCCTCGCCCACTATTCGCATTCGTCGGGCTCGAATGCGCGTCGCCTCCGGGGGACGCCCTAGCCTTTACTCGAGATACTTTATGAGACATGTCTCCATTTGTGATGCGACGGGGTGTTTCTCAGCCGGCTTGTCGCGTGCCCTTTTTTGGAAGGGCAGCCTGACGCTGGAATTGTGAGCAGAGTTTTGCCGCAGAAATTAGGCTCAGAGTGGTATCGAACCCGTGACCTTCAGCACGGCAATGTTACGTAGAGCACTAACCACTAGACTAACTCTGCTCGCAGTTGCTCTATATGCTAAGTTTATACCGTGATAATACAACAAGAAAAACAAACAGTCGTTTTCAATACGTATTGGTCTTTTCTACCGTATGCCTTCCATCCCCAGCATGACGTGGACTGGTGAGGAGCCGCATCGCTCCAGACTTGCGCCACGTTGCTTTTCTCGCCGCGCCACGCCAAACGAGCGTCCGTTACGTGGCGCAGGCCCGAAGCGAGGCGGCGCCGCACAAACCTACGTCATGGCGAGGCTGGAAGGCAAACGGTAGAAAAGACCAATATGTATTAAAAACGACTATAGGTGATTTGCTTTCTGCTGTATTTGTAAGCTGAAGCGATCCCTACAGGATGTTATTTAAAGGTTGGCAAAAGACTTCGTGAGAGGTATTAGCGATTAAACAGTTTGTACATACCCTTGGGATACCCCGTATATGTTGTGGATATCGAATTTCCGAATATTCGATGCTTCGAATTTTCGAATAGTCAATTCTTATCGAATTTTCGAATATTCGGTGCTCATCGAATATTCGAATATTCCATGGACATCGAATGATCGAATTAATGACCATCGAATATTCGACTATCGAATAATATTCGAAAGTTGAGAATTTCGAATATTTGAATTTCGAATAATATTCGAAAATAAGAATTTTCGAATATTCGACTGTCGAATACTATTCGAAATCTCAGATTTTCGAATATTCGAATTTTCGAATCATTCGCATTCGGATGATTACTCGAATAATCGAGTAATCATTCGATTCGGTCCAAAGTATACCGTGTACCCCATGCTACAACGTTATAACTAGTAATCCAATACATAAAGGACAAGGACATACCGAAAGGCTCTCTGCACTGTGACAGCATGGCGTTCTCCGATGAAGCGAGGAAGTCCCCATCTAGCGACTGATCGGCTGCTTCTGTTGACAAAGACAGCGAAGAATTTGCAGGATGCAGTAAGATAGTCGGTGCTAACAGAGGCGATAAAGAAGTTACGTCGAATATACTCGGTTCCAGCCGACACTAAAGATGAGATGTTGCTGATTTTGTTCCGTCTCTATGCATATTGAAAATTTGTTTTCTGGACCCTCACCTTAGAAAGCTACATACATTACTAGCCCATAAGTGAGCTTGAAACTGGGAATATCCCCAAATAGATGTAGTTGAGAGCAAAAAATAAACCTAAGCCCTCTCCGCTTTTTTGTTTCTTACCCTCCGTCAAAATCTTCAAAGCGAGATCACAAAGATATAAGTCGGGCACACAATTTACACTAACAATAACTGGACGGTAAATACCAAGCCCAAAAACAAAATAACAATATGAGAAATCCTTCCAACCTTTACATTTACTTCGCAAGCATGCTTGATAAGGTCAGGAATCAAAGGCAACATCTCGGCATAATCGGTGGGCTTCACCATGGGAATGTCATCACCACGCTTGAGGACGCGCCGCATGACAGCATATAATGCACCAACATTGTACTCGCTGCTTCGCAGTGAGATGAAATGCTAAAGATGAGCGTAATTCAATCATGGCTTTTAAACACTATACAGATAAAACCATTACCCTCATCTGGTCACCTGGAAGCAAAGAAAGTGATTCGAGATCAGAAGGAACGACACGTACAGAAACACGAAGGACTTCATCATAAAATTTTATAAGGCGATTCTGATAAAAAAGAAAGATAAGCCCAAAAAGGGTGAAAAACAAAAGAAGGCTCACTACCTCAGGATCAATCCGAGCACGAAGATCTTCGCTTCCGGCGTGAAAACAAAGCTGCATTGGCAGTAAACCCTAAGACAGTGGGAATCTGATGTCTGGGTAGTCTAAGCTAGTAATCTGTGGCCGTATTCATCAACGAAAACCCAGTGGGTTCTGGAACCCAGTTTAGTGCTTTTGATGAATATCGATGTAGAATCGATATTCATCAAAACCACTAAATGGGTTTCGGAACCCACTGGGTTGTTCGTTGATGAATACGGCCACTGGTGAACTTATCTAACCTGCACATATCTACGTGCTCTAAGTATTGACTCGGGCTGTCCGGTAAAGTAAAAGAATAAAGTTTGGGATGCTTCGTCCGAATGCGAAGGGAAATGAAGTAACGCTTTTGTCACTCTCGATATTACCAGCTGAACAAATTGAGTCAACTCAAAGAATAAAGCGAGAAAAGTGATAGTACCAACCAGCTGTGCTCCATCTGGCGTCCCTACAAGCTGTGAACGCTGTGCGGCTGGCACTTCCATGTGGGTCGAAAAAGATACCTAAACATGCCGAGGACCTTTCACATTCTTTGAACACGATAATTCACATATTACAAACCTTTTCCGCAACTTCTGGAACAAATATAAGATCTCGTAGACGTTCACATGCTTGTAAGAGAAGACGTTCATCACCAACGCGACCGCTAACTCGTACAACAGGATCCTGAGTACAGCATTCAAATCATCTAATTTTGATTAAGAACTTTCTTCATGAATAGATAGTAGTGTCAAAGAGCTGACTAGCTCCACATCAAAGCCACACCACAATGACAAAATCCAAATGCGCGAAATTCTCACCTTGAACGCTGATGATAATGAATGAGGTAGCACTTGTATACTGAGCGTTGGAAAATTGATCAAGCCATCATCGATCTTCTCCTTTATCCACTGCCCTAATCTATTCGCAGGCACATCATCTCGCGCTCTTTCAGAGACCGCAAACATCAAAACTACAGGACAAAATCTCTAAATGAGACAGCTTGACACTTCTTTACAAAGAACAAAGTCAAAAGCTCTGGATTCACCCTCAAGCGGATTCGTGCCTCTTCAACGTCAGTGAGGTGTCCCGTGATAGTCACCTGAAAACAAGAAGCTCGCCGACCGAAAAAAACATCAAATTCGGACAGCGTCCTCATTCTCCATAATTTAATGCCATTTGCAGTAAAGACGACTGTGCAAAACGGAGATACAGTTCACAAGTGTGAAGGCACCTAGTGGGTGTGCAAATGGTTGAATCGCACATTAAAAACGCTACGTTTCTACGATGAAATAATCTGATCTACAGATGTAAAAATGGCCACTGGAAAACAACTACAAAAAGTAACGATTAGAAGGGGCAAATTATGTCTAACCTGGTGCATGAAATCTGGATTAGCCTCATCACGATCGGGAAATTGTATGATTGTGTTTGTTTCCATCATGATATTAGCACAACTTTCTGACGTACCACCGAGAATTCTAAACTAACTGAATATGAGCACTAATATTGGATACGAAAAGAACTGCACCTTTTCGTGAACATTTCCTCGTAATCGCTGTATGTGATTTCCATGGTGAGGGTGACTTTTTCGATATCAACAGCTTCCTGAACGAAAAATGAAGTACTATGTGAGCTACGAACGATTCTCAGACAAGCAAAACTCTCCCCTCCTTTTTCGCAGGTTAGAAAATGGTTTTTCCTTAGAAAATCCACTGCAATATACCTTTGAGTAAACACACACAATATCAAGATGCAAAACAGTGCTACGGAAAAGAATAGTTGAAGAACATTGGCGCAATAATAAATAGAAACACTTTCCCGATGAATACTTGAGATTCAAATCTGGTTAGTCCTTATACCACTTCACTTATTTCAAAAGCCAGAATTAAAAAAAAAAACTGTGGAGTATAAAATCAACCCACCTGTGCGATTACCTTCTTCCCAGCTTGCTGTAGATTAGATGGTCTCAACAGATAATCGCGATAATGCAGTATGTCCGCTCGCCGTTTCAATTCTTTAGACAGATGCACGCGACGACTATGGTCGATACTCATCTGAATCAAGAAGAAGAGATAAATCTCTCACGGTTTTTTTCAACAAACTGACTTTTGTCGATTGCTGACTAATGTGAAAAAACTGTTCAGGCTGTTCAAGTATTTGGTGCAAAGAAGGTCTAATAGAAAGATCGGGGAACCGATTGCCGTTCCAGACATCTGTAATGGTGGGTGCTACCATCGCTTTACTCTGTAGCAAAGGTGAGAGGGATCTTGTCTGCGGTATAGCAGCTCGAAATGGATATCGTGCCTGTAAGAAGGGTCAAAAATAAACTCTTCACAAAGTTCACTCTCAATAGGGGCCAGAAACTCACGATTGCGTGGTAGCCGTCTCCTTCTCGAACTGCTCCCTCTCTCATTCTGAAAAAAATTAGCAATTATATATGCCTGAAGACATCGCAGGCACACTCAGACAGCATCATCAAAGCTTTCATGAATCACTTCAAGTGGGAAGTTAAACGATTACCAAATCAAACCAAGTCTGACGATCTTCTGTGCAGGTTTATGCGGAAAATTAACCACACTCCACCAATGAACCTTGCAACGAACAGCTAGACTGACGAAATGGAAGATACCGCACACGTGTGAAGACATTATCAACACCATCAGATCATATCAATCTGATAAGGATCATTTTGAACGCTGGTTGTGACAGTACGCAAGGTTGCGTGGACTTTGTCTCAGACTTTGGCAGCGGCCGGCGGGCAACCTAGCCGTCCTTTTGGGCGGAGCCTGATGCCAGCCGGCGGCCGCGCCGCTGTACAGCGCGGTGATTAGGTGCGGCGCCATCTAAAATACTTAACCGGCTGCGCGGGCGGTCGCGCGCGTGCCATCGCTGCGTGCCGGGACCTGGGACTCCCTTGCTCCCAGCATTGATCTTTGAATAATAGCGTTGCAATGTATGAATGATTTCGGCACGACAGTTGTTGCCGCTAACTTTTGACTGCACCACATGATCTTACAAGGGAACCGTGCGGACTCGAAGTGGCCTTTTCCAACTAACCCATATACATTTGCAGGTCCTGGCACGCAACTTACAAAACAGCAATCCGTATCTGCCAAGCGGTCCTGTGTGGCAAGATATGAGCGTTCGAATTCCATGAGATCGCGCGTTCAACACAAGTATCGTGGCCGCCACTCAACACGGAGTGGCGCCATAGCGCAGTGGCAAGTGGATGGACTCATAATCCTTGAGGTCTAGGTTCGAATCCTTTTCTCGGCATCAGTTTTGCATTGGTCTCCTTTTGTTTTTAGTGATAAGCTGATCGTCCTGGCATCATCAGAAACAATATTTATTGCAAAAACACGGCTTCTAGAGAACTCAAAAATATCGATGAACATCCTGGAGCTTTCCTTACTCCCGTACAATACTCTTCCCATCCGACCTCGTAGGGACTTGTCAAATAAATAACTGTGAGGAAGAGCACTTTATTCGCTGCTCCTATTGTGAAAACCTCATTTGTTTTCAACATTTCATTGTAAGTTACCATACATGTACATTACCATCAACTTGCTAGCCGTATCAGGTAGCTTCAGTTGTATTTTTGCAATGAATATTGTTTCTGATGATGCTAGAACGATCAGCTTATCACTAAAAACAAAAGGAGACCAATGCAAAACTGATGCCGAGAAAAGGATTCGAACCTAGACCTCAGCGATTATGAGTCCATCCACTTGCCACTGCGCTATGCCACCACTCCGTGTTGAGTGGCGGCCACGATACTTGTGTTGAACGCGCGATCTCATGGAATTCGAACGCTCATATCTTGCCACACAGGACCGCTTGGCAGATACGGATTGCTGTTTTGTAAGTTGCGTGCCAGGACCTGCAAATGTATATGGGTTTCGTTGGAAAAGGCCACTTCGAGTCCGCACGGTTCCCTTGTTAGTTGTCTTTAGTGATGGAGGTGTGCAAGTCCCAGTAAAATATACGTATACCTATCCTACATTCCTCATATGTTATCCGAGTTGAGATGCTTTGATTCAGATGCAAAGTGATGGTGATAGTCTTGCTAGAGAGCCTAACATGTCAGTTTCAACACAAATGTGGAGAAGTATTTATGCGAAGTCGCGACAGCTTCTTGCTACATACTTTTGAATGTTCTTTGAAAAAGTTAGATAGCAATTTTGCTTATATAAGACTTCTTCCTTCTCTCTGCAAGAGAGCTTTGTGTAGGAAAGTCATCTTGGCTGTCAAGATTGTCGTGTTTTCTACAGCAGAATCCAGTCTTGGGCATAGAACTTCCACCCAATGATAAACTGTTGCTGTGCAGAGCAACAAATTTGAGGCCTAACTCTGCAGTTTTTTGTATTGCACAGAACCAAAATAAGAAAGAAACATTCATCCAAGGAGACTCTTGAAACCAGGCATTGTCTGATAGTTGAATTTGCTTTTCCTAAACTAGATGATCAATAATCGAAGACGAGATAGCACGCTATGAAGAACAAAAACAACATTATTCAATTTTTCCTCAATGATAAATGATACATCCCTGTGGAGAGTCAAGGTTGGCCCTGTAAAGCCGAAGTGCGTTGGGTAGTCTGAGGATAGATTGTTGGTCATAATTCTTTTTCCATCAATTTTAATGCGATACGTTTTCCTCACCAAACTTATAAGAAGAAGACGGTCTAGCGCAGAAAGAGTCATTCGCAGCGCACATGATTCAGAACTGTTGGGAAAGATCTCCTGCAACAAAATAATTTCCATTCACTTGAAACAGTAGTACACTAAGCGAAAACACTCATGAGCGTGCCGATCCTGTTTGGGGTAACTTATATCTTTGAAAGGAAAAGGTAAAACGCTCTACGTAGTCACTTTCTGAGTAGTCTTCAATTCCATCTCCTTTACTCCACCTCGTTTATGCAGTCCCAAATTCATTTTAATACCAGTGAAGCGACTAAGCACATCAGCAATCGCACAGAAGTGAAAGGTTCGTTCGTTGCAACAGGTCTTCAAACACAGGGTTGGCAGCAAGCGAGCCCGGGGTCCCAGCACGCAGCGAAGGCGCGCGCGACCGCCCGCGCAGCCGCTTAAGTAGATTTAGATGGCGCCATTAGGTGCATATAAGGGCGGGTATACTTCACGCGATTGCAGTCGCGACGCGATTTTGCAGTTCGCCAAAAGTCTTCAGATCAAACACTAGCAAACTGCACATGCATAGTGTGTATAACTTACGTGGATTGATAAAATGACCTATCTTCTGTACATGCAGAATTTGTTTACAATGAGTTATGAACAGTTGGAATATTGCCAAATAATCGCATCGCGACTGAAATCGCGTGAAGTATGCCCGGCCCTTATCGCGCTATGGAAGCGATAGAATGAAGCACCGTCCATTCATGTGGAAAACTCATGAGACTCATTTAGGTAATCTTTATCATTACCACAATCGCAATACAAGAAATCTCACATGATTACGATCCGAGTCACCCTTGCGTATGAGCTTTCCATTGCGACTGACTTGCGCTGGCCGCCGCCCCGTGATCACGCCTCTTTCGAGACGCGTTCGCGACACTGGGCCGCCGGGGTTCGCCTTTACGAACGAGCTTCCACTTGACCGAAAGTGGGTGGTGACCTCACAATCATCAATGGCTGCTCTGGCATTCTGCTGCCGAAACATGTCCAGAGAACATGGATCACAGCAGACTTGCTTTACGAGGATTTTCGGCAACCGGCGCGCGAGATATGAGCGGCTCCACAACTTTGGCGAGGCGGAGCTGCGCTAGCGTGCCTTGCGTTGCGGTTGCCCTATGCTGAGGCATACCTGATCCATCGATCTTTGGTGAAGATCACGATCCCGCCTCGCCAAAGTTGGGGAGTCGATAATACCTGATTCATCGGTCTTTGGTGAAGATCACGATCCCGCCTCGCCAAAGTTGGGGAGTCGACATTAAAAAAAATGTTTTTTTATGCAATTCGCTTGGTGACTCGAATTATTACAATGAAAGGAAAAGAAAGAAATGGCGTTAATCTTTCTATTGATCAAAGGATCAATAAACCCATAATCTTCCATACAATCGATAAATAAGTAAAAGCACAATCTTCCAAATGAATAAAAAGGAACTGTCAATTAACAATAATTCTAATCGAATAAGGACGATGAGCAAATCCATCGACGGCGAATGAGCGGCGAGTGTCTGTAACAAGTTTCCTGAAGTGTGAGGCTATTCAAAAGTTGCGAGCTGTGATTGTTCTCGTGCGATTTCTATTCCTTACAGCGGGAACATGAACGAGGCAAGGTGCGAGGCTATTTAAAAGTTGCGAGCTGTGGCTGTTTTCGTGCGATTTCTATTCGTTACTGCGGGAACATGAATGGGCACAACGCGGACACGTGATGCTGCACGTGTCGGTTATGTTCCTTGCAATAGAAGCAAGGAATTAACTGACACGCGAGCTCTGTCACCCTCAGATGCTGCTTAAAGCAGCGGAAACATAGGCTTAAGTCGCGCATGCGCTCGCGTCTATCCAACAAAGTCGCATAGACGTCGCATTCTGTTGCGAATTGATGAGTATTCGAACCGCAGTTAAATTTACACCGTCCCTTTTCGATTAGCGAAGGTAAAAGAGCCGGCGTGGTTGGCGGTGTACGAGGTGGTGGCGTGGGGGATCGTCTCCTGTTTGTTGTGGGTTCATCACCTTCTATTGATAAGAGCTGCTTCAGTTGAAACTCCACACTCTCCATTCCCTCCCGAGCGCGTCTGGCGATGTTCTAAAATAACGAGTTATGTTATTACTTCCCTATAGACCCACTGACCAATCTCTTTCTCTTACGTTTTTTTCTAATAATGTATGTTTGCGAAGTTGTGTCCGTGCGATCTTCCTCGTTTCTGGTCGGTTAACAATTTAAAGTGTTTAGAATTTTCCGACACATCATATCGATAATTGATGTCTATTCGATGTGGGATTCCTAGATCGACACATAATGCCACATTATGTGGTCCGCCACAGTTGCGACAGTTTGCACGACGGCATTGGTTACTCTGATGTTCAGTGGAGAAACATTTGAAACATCTGTTCAATTCGAGGATACGTTGACGTCGCGATTGTGCTGTTCGGAATCTGTTACAGAAACGTATCTTGTGAGATCCTCCACATGCTGCGCACCGATACTGCACGAATTTTCGATGTTTGATGTGCAGCATAGTAGTTCTAGTTAACGACGTCGACTCAGTATGGCTCTTATGCACTTGCGTGATTTCGAATTTTTTCACAATTTTACGAATCTCATCTATCAATTGATTCATGGTCCAATTCGAATTCTCTTCGTATTCTTTCAAAATCAACGCATTTTGAATCGTTTCAGGAAATTTCTGCCTCACTTTGTTCTTATATTCACGAGCGTCGATATGCGATTCTGCTCGTGACAGAGGGGCTATAATTGCCATGAGATCATTGAGGGTAGCTCGAAGTTGCGATGCATCTTCCGACGATGTCGGAATTTTGTCTAATCGCTGAATCAAAAGCTTGACGTTTAGTTTGCTGTTTCCGAACTGTTCTTTGAGCTGTTGGACAGCGCCTTTATAAGACGAACCTTTACGAGGGAGATATTTGAGTGCTCTTGCGGCTTCGCCTTTGCATTTGTCAAGTAAAATGGTTAATTTTTCGATATTCGAATATGGCTGCTTATCGATAATTCCGAGAAAATTTCCCAAAATGGCTCAAATTCTGTCGATTCCCCAAAGAAGTCTGGTATGCGAAGCTCTCTTTTATACCAGTGCGCCGGAATTTGATGGTTAGAGCGTGTTTGGGAGAAATCAGTCCGGAAACTGAGAGGTTGCGAGGTGGTTGGGTGGGATATATTGAGCGAAGGGGTAGCCGCGCGTTGTCTTTCGATTACTTCGAATTCGTCTGAACCTGCGATTTGCATTTCTTGCGTTGCTAATTCGACTAGTCTCATTTCCAAACTTTGAATCATTTCTCGAGCTGCTTCGAGTATACTAGCCCCTTTCTTTTCGTTCCAGTAGTTGTCGAAGTCTTGACCCAACTCAGTCGGGTTTTCCGAGTCGGATGCGAGAAGTTCAGTTGTTTCTCCAAAGATTTTCATTACGATATCAACCTTTGACTCTAACTTTGCGATCGTGTCCTGTACTATGGACCGCTGCGTACGAGTAAATATATATAACTCCTTACGAACGGAAGGAAATTGCCATCCTTCTTTATATTTCTCGCAATCCGATACAAGATGTGCAATGTCGTTGAGATGCCGACTAAGCTGCTGCTTGGCGTAACCAACGAGCGATTCGACGATGGCATGGATAGTCTCAGTGTTTGAAATATGTGCAATGACAATAGATTGTGAGGTTTATCGGTCTTTAAGTACTTGCGATGTTTAATGTGATGGGTTTTTGTTTTGTTTTGGGATTACACTGATAAGAAATCTCGCCTAAAGGAATGCATGGGAGCAAACTTTGCGAACTTTGTGGTTGTGTAATATTGATATCGATGTTTATCAACTTTGACATACTGTATCCGTGATGTGTGTGAAACAAGAGAAAACTGTGGCCAGTGGATAGACTCAAGTTCCTTCAACTTTTAGACATAGACGGATAAAAAAAATAGATGTAAAAATGCGCGCAAAAAATACAACATCGCGAAACAATCAGAAAAAGGAGAAAAACGTGAAAAACGTGAAAGAGAACCTGGTTCATTACTCTGGCTTTGTTCTCCGGGCCGCTCACGGCATCTGAAAATGCTATTGGTATTAACCTTATAGCAAGTCACAAGCGTCGTTGATCGACCACTCGGCTAGTCTCTGGGGCTAGCGTCCCTTGATCCCAAATTTTACACAGAAAAAGGAAAATAGATGACGAACTTATTTTTACGAAGGAAAGGTTTTCCACTGGGCGACTCGAGGTTTTTACTTCGTCCTCCGATGCACCATGTGGAAAACTCATGAGACTCATTTAGGTAATCTTTAGCATTACCACAATCGCAATACAAGAAATCTCATATGATTACGATCCGAGTCACCCTTGCGTATGAGCTTTCCATTGCGACTGACTTGCGCTGGCCGCCGCCGTGATCACGCCTCTTTCGAGACGCGTTCGCGACAATTCATTTTTGAGGCTGGTATAGTTCTGATGGCGTACGATAGCAAGGTCCCGAACTGAACTTCCCGCAAAATGTATATTCTGAAGGGGAAGTCGCTTCAGAAGTTTGATGGTGCTAGAATGGCCACGCTTCCAACGCGGGTGGTCTGAGAGTGATAAGTCGGAAAGTGGACTCCAGAATATCTGAATGTTGAAAATGTGCTTCTCAGAGTAGAAGAAACCCGACATTTCTAGGTATGACTGCCTTCGCCTCGTTCACGGCACCAGTGCAGCCACCTTCTGTGGCCTTTCATCAACGAACCCAGTGGGTCCCAGAACCCATTGGGTAGGCTTAACCCAGAGATCGGTATTCACGAAGCTAGTGGATTCGCGGAAACTCAGCAGTGCTTTTAGTGAATATCAATCCGACCCAGTGGCACTGTCTCTGCTTACCCACTGGGCTCGTTGATGAATACGGCCACTGGAGCGTTCTTTTTTCGCTTCGGAATGCATCTTTTGCAGCGGAACTTGGCAGATATTTAGTTAGGGCCTCGCTATGGCACTGCATCAATATCTTACCAATTTCAGACTTTGGTGGACAGTGCCTTGGATACTTGAGTTGCAACTTGATAGGTCCAGAAGCAAATTTTGACAATGTCTTCTGAGTTGCTGGATAGATATTATTGGTTGACCATCGAAACCGCTAACCCGCATTCGAGACGCATCAATCATCTATTTACTCTCCCGCTACGGGCGAAGCCTTGGCAAAGTTGTTTTTAGCAATTGCTATTAGCAAAGCAATCGCTACTGTGAGATGCCTTCTGTGTCACTAGGAGTGACGAGGGTCTCATGCGGGTCGCGACCGCCTTGCTTGGGCTCTGCACCTGTTTCGCGAACGTGCTCTCTGATCATTTTCCCACCTGAGCGTGGGAAAGGACGAGCTTCAATCACTAATAGAGCTCAGACACTCGCCATTGACTCTCGCAGGAGATCCGCCACAAAGTAGGTAATCGCACCAAAATCCGGTGCATCGGCGGGAGTGATTATTTTAGCTTTGTCCCAGTTTTGGTGCGATATTTTCTCCCTAACTGCGAGCGCATGTTTAAACGAGTACAATAGTGGTGGTTATCATGTTTAGGTCGTTCCGAAGGTTATGTGTTTTACTTTTTGCGATGGTCACATTTCACAATTTAACCAAATTTTTATACAAACCCTTTAAAGACCCTTTCCAGATTACGATTCGATAGAGCAACCTTGAAGGACGCGGTAAAACTTTTTTTCCTTAAAGCGGCCATAACTTTTCGAAAGATTTTGCATTGAAACAATCGGATCTTGGCGGGACACTAGTTTTACAAAGCAAATAAGAGTTTACGGATTCGAAAGAACAAATTTCGGGTTTTTCGGGTCCAGCCCGGGCGCTTTTAAAGACATGGGTTATGATGACTTCGTTGCACGAATCGGAAACACGAATCGGGAGCAAAAAAAACACACACTAGAAAGAGGAGAAGAAACTGCATCGACAAGCACGCGAACTGCCCGCCCTTTGATGTTCTACGAGGTTTAAGTTGACCAAGTATATTTGGTAGCATCAGAAAATTCTATCAAAAAAGTATGAGGAGTTATGGAAAGAAGAGAAAAATTGTTTTGCATCCAGTAGTGTTTGATCTATAATATGTTAGTTGGACTTCTTCGGAGATTGATCTAAAAGTTTGAAAAAAACTGTGAAACTTGACCATCTCAAAAAGTAGAGATTGCAGATTTTGGTAAGTTTCAGAGAGCTCATTGAGCTTGCTGCAAAGGTTCCTTGACCGTTAGGAAAGTGATGAAATGCTGCATTGAATGTTGCCAAGATCTCTCAGAAAGTTTTGTTCTACGAAATGTGGCATTCATCTGAAAAAAAACATTACTTTCGGAACGACCTAATATTATGTTGTCCCATAAGTCTTTTCATATTCGAATCTTTGAATAGACATTTCTTAAGAACTAGGGCATCCCTACAAGGTTGGAAATTTGTGGCAGTATTCCGAGTGGAGAAGCTATATAACCGAGGCGGGCGTTAGATACCCAGCCGAGGTGTGGGCGTTAGGTACCCAGCAGTTAGTGGTATACACTGAGCCACGCCCCTTTGTTATTTTATCAGAAGATACCTAACGATACACCAAATCCTAGCTGCTACAACAGGTCACTTATCTCGCAAAAGCGCTGGCGCTTGCGACTCACACAAAGGAGACAATTCGAAAACTCAAAAAAAATCGCGCGAATAAGAACGCGGATTTGTACACAACGTTGTTTCTTTTACTTCTTCAATCATATTTGAAACTAGATGGCTTACCCGGCTCCGCCCGGCCCTGTCAATTATATATTTGTAATCAGCATGCTCGATTACCCCCCTGTGCCAACTCCCAGCCCTGTAGCTCAAATTTTGCAAAAAATCGATAAAATCGATATCGATCGATGACGAAAAGTAGCCTATGACACCCGCCGGGGCCCGAAGTGTATGTGTGCCAAGTTTTATCCGGATCGGTTCAGAAATGGAATTTTCTATTCGGAACATACGTACAGACAGACATACAGACATACAGACAGACAGACAGACAGACAAACAAACAGACATTCAGCTTTATATATAAGATCACAGAAATTCGATGATGAAAGTCAAGAATTAGGTAAAGCTTTTATGAGCACTTCACATAATTTTGCAAAAAAGAAATTGTGGTAATCTGATATAGCCGATACTGTCGCAGGGAATTTCAAAAGTAAATTTTGTAGAGTTCCGTTCGACCAAAATCTCACAATTTCAATGGAGCAAGCGCTCTTTAGGAAATGCTCCTGGCAGATTAGTTGCACGGAATATTCTTTTGTTTCAAAAAAAAAAACTGCTTCAGATATATCCTTGACAATGAAAAGTGAAAACGATTGGAACAGGAGCTTCGAGGAGAGCTTATCATCAGGATCAGAACTTTATGGAGGACTATTTGACCCATTAATTTGTGGGAAGGGCACTAGCTCTGTCCTAATTTGTTCCGTTCATTGGGTTCTTTTCCAATCAATGAAAATTTCGCATTATAAAGCTATGCCAATTTCGGAAGTGTGTGGCGATAGAATGAAAAAAGACCAAACACCGGGAGCAAATACTAACAGAATCTTTCACTTTATACAAGGGAAGTCACTTAACTTATCGTTAGGTCGGCCTTTTGAAATGAGACACTTACATTTATAATCAGCTCGGAAAGCTGATTCCCAATATGCTGTCCTTAGCTGCGAAGCGTTCTTCTGAAGCGAGTTATAGTTTTCAGTATGAGCAAGTGAATATGGAAAGAAGGCCTTTAGATGAAAATCTGCCCAAAAAATGGTGAAAAATCGAAATAACATCAAATTGACATCTTTTGGCTTTGATGGGGTATAATATGCATTTGAACCACTACCTAGATGATGATACCGTAGCATGCCTAAGTCGGTCAGCATGCAAAATTTGTCCAGGAAAAGTGCATAACTCGCTTAAAAGTAATGCTTCGCAGTTATGGAAAGCAAATGTGGAATCAGCTTTTCAAGCTGATTCCAATTATATGTGTCGCTTCTTAAAAGGCAGTCCTAAGTTAAGTGCCTTTCCTTGTTAGTGAGTTATCATATTTGAGGATAATTTGATTATATTTTGGCGGCTAGAAGAAAATGATTTTCAAACAATTGCAATATGAAAGTACTCCAAAAAAGCACAAAAAGCGCTACAGAGAACATAGGCATGATAAAATATAGTAGCTCAACGACATTCTCATACGGGATGTTGAATCTTCCAAAATAAAGAAAAAATGTGTGCTCATCAAGGTTTTTGTTATCCTCGCACGTGCGCCGCTTATGCAGGGTTTGCTTTTCTTGTCAGATGTCTCCATGTAGTCCTATCTGAGGCAAGGTCTTCGTTTATGCCAAATTCTCGTAGGTCGGCGTTGATTCTGTCCATCCACCTCATCTTGGGTCTACCTCTGGGTCAGAGGTGCGATGGGGGGAGCCGGGCCCACCA